ATTTCGAAAGCCCCATCAAAATGATAACAATAGTTATTATTTTATTGGATAATTATATATTAGATATTATTGATTCTTAGATTTATGTTAACATCAGCAATACCAGCAATAATAGTAATGACATCAATACTTGTGTTAATGATAATAATAATATTAATATTTGTGTTAATATTAGAAATGCTAATAACACTTATATTTAATTAAATTAATGACAACAATAATAGAACCAGTTATATTATATAACATGTAATTTATATAAATATATCATATATTTTAGCTTAGAAAAAATTAGTTAGTTAGTTAAATTCAAGAAATCTCTTATTTGATAGAAACTTCAAATAACTTATAAAGTTATATTTGTATTGATTTTTGGTCTTGAAAGATAGATTGCTTATAATAAATTATTATTATTAACTTGAAAGACAGTCACTTGATAAACTTATTACTTGTATTATAACTTTTGAAGTTCTAAATAATACATAATCTTAGTGAAGTTATTAGATATCATTCTAGCTTGTCACAACAAGAACACATATTATCTACCTTTAATAATAAATCTTAGTCTCTCCCACTACAAAAACTTAATCTTTTTCACTCTCATATTAATAAAACATGTAATTAATAAGTTAGAACTTAACATCTATAAAAATAGTAACAATATTTTATTTTTTATTATTTAAATTTTTGATTATTAATAAATATTTCTCATTCGTAAGAAGAACAAAATAAAAGAGTTTTTGTTATTATTATTACTAATTATATTATCTTAGTTCTGGAAAGCTTTACGCAAGTACAAAGAATTACTTTTTTTAAATCTTTTTTATTATTCTCTTTTCTCTTTGATCTTTACTCTCCCATAATTCTTTCACAATATTATTCTTTTAATAAATATAATTTTTGTAAAAATTGATATAAATCTTAGATATCTCTTTTTTTTCTTTTAATATTTTTATTAGTCTATCACTTTCTTTCAATTTTAGATTCAAGTTTATAAGCTAATTTAATAATTAATGAGCAAACTTGTAACAATACATTAATATGTATAAAATTACAAATCATATATTATTAGTAAATATAATATATTATTAGTGAATATGATATTATTAGTTATTAATATAAGTTTTAGAAGTCATAATAATGAGTTATTAATAGTCAAAATAATATATTTAGAAATTTTATATATAAAGAGATGCTTTTATCTTAAAGACAAAGCATTAATTAATTAAAATACAGTTAACAAAAATAACTTGTTCTATAAAGTTATTGTATCAAAATCAATAAATTTGAAATTTAAATATATTTCTTTATAATTCTTTTCTTGCACATAATTATATTAATTTATTTAACTTATTTTTAATCATATTACTAAAAATATAAAGTACACTTAGAATATATCTATATTAAAAAGATTTACAATATCTTTTAGTAATAATAATAAAATAATGCATATTTATTAGCTAACAAATTCATGTTATGACTGAATTTAGCTATCTTGATTAGTATTTCTATGAATTAAACTGAACCAAACTTTTGTCTGAATTCGAATTTGATTTGAAATTCAAATTGAACTTGAACCAGACTTTGACTTGAGTTCAAGAAAGATTCAAAGTTTGAACTAAATCATTATATGAATTCAAATCTGATTCAAGTTCAATTAAAGATCAATATATAATATCATATACTGATTTGTAACTCTAAATATAAGCTACAAATTTATTTATAAGAACAATTTATAATATTTAGTAAGAATTAAAAGTTTATATAATGTAACTAAATTATTTTTATTTTTACGTTTATTAAATTTGATCATAAATACTATGTAATTTTCCAAATAATTATTATTAATAATAATTATCTTATACCAATTTGTAGCTCTTATTTCTGGCTACAACTTAAACTATATTTTATAATTACTATAACAAAATAAATGTTTATTATACTAAAACTAAAGCAGATTAAAATCATAATAATTAAAATTATTTTTTAAATTCATATAATTTCTTAAATATTCATCCTAAATATTAACTATCTTATATCAATTTGTAACTCATGTTATAATCTACAACTTTACTTAGAATATCAACAAATATTTACTTGAACTCAAACTAAACTTTTAGTCAGATTCAAGTTAAATTCAAAATCTCGAACCAAACTTTTAATTAAATTCAAATTTTTAAATTAAACTTTTGATTAGATTTGAGTCAGGTTCAAGCTTAAACTGAATTAGACTCAAACTGAACCAGACTTTTTTTTGGAATCCTAATACAATATTATTTGGTGACTTATAAGTATAAGAGATATTTTTTATTCTCTCTGTTTATAATAATAGTTTAACTACTATAGTATTCAAAAAAATTACCACTTGAAAAATATGTATTTATATTCAAAAAGAAATTGTCATAAAAAAGATTATTATTTTGTCTTGTTGTTATTTAAAATGTGAGCTTATAATAGTAATATGATATTTTTATTTGGTTAAGATTTAAATCATTCAAAATTTTGATATAATGTAAATATGCTATTATTATATTAATTTCAATTAGATAACACAATTCTAATCATACTCTTTGCAATCTTCAAAATCAGAATAACTCACTTGCATAATATTATGTTTTTATTTTACTTATCTATAGATGAAGTTTCAGAAAAGTATCTGTAGATATTTAATATTATCTATTTTTTATTCATTATTAATGGTATAGAAGTTCAGTTTATACAAGAACTAGATAAGGAATTGATAAACTTTGCAAAAAAATATATCTATATATAATTTTTTTATTATGTGAAAATGAATTTATTTGAATCATTGCATGTAATTTTAGTATTATACAAATAAAAATTTTTTAAATTAAAATACAGATATTAATATATCAAATTATATTATAATTATTATAAAAGTGAAATTAATATATCAGGATTTAGTATCACTTAAAAATGTTAAACTTATAAAATATTCAGAGAAAAATTTATATAAAATTGCTAATTTAAATAAATATTATTCACCAAAATTAGAAATAGATTCTGCTGAAGATAATATAGAAGACTATAATAAATCTATCACTCTGAGTATCCAAAAATAGATATTAGTAATACTTATAATATAGTGATTCAATCAGATATTTACTATTATCATTATTTTATTTAATTTTATTCTTAGTATTATTAATTAATTAATTAATATATATTATTTATAGTTAATAAATTATTAATTAAATTGGATAATCTTTCAAATATTTTAAGTAAAGAAAAATAAAATTTGAAAGAATTCCAGATATTAATATATTATTATTAGATATTTATATATTAACTAAAAATTATCTATTATAATATCTCTTTGAGAAAGTGAAAGCTAATTTAATATAAAATCAATAACTTTGTTTTTATCTTCAATAACAATAGATTTAAAAGGATTACAAAAATCTACTAAAAAAGAAAATCAAATATAATGAGTCAAAAAATGATAATACTGAATTGAGTAATGATTTATCAAAAGAAACTATTAGCAGATTATTAAAAGAAAAATTATATAATAAGAGATATTGACAAAAAAATATATAATTAATAGAATCTAAGAATAATATAAAGAATATAACCTAATAATAACATTTATAATAGTAGTAAATTTTACAATGTATAATAATTAGAATTTGTTGTAGTTTTCATATACTTATAGTTTATATGAATATATATTTAGAAGAAATAAAATTTTGAACAATAACTTCTAAATGAGATTTTGATTACTCTATATTTCACAAAATGAATTTAATGATTTGTTAAACATTCTCTTAATATTAACAGTTTGCAATTTCTATATTAGTATTTTATAAAAATTTGACTTCAATTGGCACTCTGAGTATAGTGATTCATAATATTATAATATACAAACAGTTAATATATCTATACATTTGTTTAAATTTAAATCAAATTTTGAGTATGCCAAGTTTTTATTATCAAATAAAAAAAGGATACTGTAGTGAGAAGTAAATTTACCCCCTTGGAGTGTTATTGAATGTCCTAAAAAGGTATCTAGAGTTAGCAAAAAATATGTTTACAGTCCAAAAATTTAATTCATTAAATTCCACATTCATTGGCACTCCGAGTACCCCAGAAAGTTAAAAAAAAAAGTGACATTTTTACTGGTGTATATACATGTATACAGTTAAATAAACTAGAAAAGCAATAAATTTCCAAGAATCTGAAACAATGTAATCAATACATCGTTTAAACTAATATATTAAATGAAACAAATGAATAAAAAGATCAACCATTCTTTGCACCACCACCAGGCAAAACATTCCAACCGCGATTATTCATAAACCGCTTGACATCATACGACAACTTTATCTTATACGCCAACAGGATAGATACCAAGAAAACACAAATGGCCGAAAGAGTGCCAGCACAGTATTTGCTCTTTTTAAAGCATTCTGACATTCCAATTAGACCACCACCACCACCGAGAAATACGCCGATTATAATAAAGATTTCGAAAAGAATGTCAATGGACTGCGCGAGGAAAAACAAACGAAGACTGGTAACGTTGTCGTTGCGTAAACCGTGATATAAGCGAAGATGACGACCAACGAAATCGAACATCGGGTAGAACACTAAGAAGACTATTGCGATTATTATCCCAATTTTTCCGCCGATATTTGCAACTGCCATTGCGCATACTGCTAACAGATTCGCAACAAGCGTGATATATTGGACTATAAATAATAAAGGATGTTTAATGAAATGGGTTTCGAATTTATTCGAAAAATAAATCATATTTTAATAGAATACTTTACATTTCCATAAATTATATGAACGCTTTGCGAGTTTTCGTTGAACAGATTCATCGATATCAACTTCAATATCGTGAAAGATAATCGGGCGAAATTTTGGCCTATTTATTTTTAAGTGAATAATTTACTTACATAGTAGGTTAAAACAGCATGATTTCTTATAAAGTACCAGTTATTATCTCTCTCAATATCTCCCATTTTGCAAAGTATTTTATATGTTTAAAGTATTTGTGTTCGTTTGATAAACTTTCTTTACGTGAAGAATGGATTCTAATTTAGCTATAAACGAAAAGCTCTGAATTTATAACTTTTATTCTGTCTTCTCTTATTCAATTTAAATTAGAAAATGAATAACAAACTCCGCAAAGTAAGCTTATTAAGGTTCATTCATAGTACATGTATTACAACATCTATGCGTGAAATTTGTTTCATATTAATGCATATGACGGAAATTGGCCCTTCAATTATAACTAGAATTCAAAAGCTCGATTTCTGTCTCGATATTTAGAACAACAAATTATAGTGTAGCTTTTTACTTATCATATTGTCAGAAATATCCATTCTTAAAAGATGAGCTAAAAAAGAGTTTTTCGAATCACGTATTCAATAAATATTGTTCAGAAAATGACACGCATCACGTAGTCAAAATACCAAATACAGATACACAAAAAATATATAATACATCTGATTAAAAAGTTCTTCCTTCATTCAATACATGGATTGAAACTTATATTTTACCTCCTCATGCATGTTTTAATTGGTATCAATTCAATTACATGTATTAAGTGTGACAGGGATTGATCCAGAAAAGTAAATTTGATTGTCGCGGAAAATTATTACAGTAATAATAATTAACAAAGAAATATATTTTAATAACTGCGTATCAATAGTGGATTACATGTCCATTTTTTTCTATTACTTCATTAATACGTTCTGGCATTGGGTCTATAAAGTGAAGAATTTTCTCAAATGTAATACTAATCCACGCGGAAAATACGGCTTCCTCCAAGTCAGCTTCTGTCTGTGGTTTTCGGTTCTTATGAATCCAACATTTACGTAATCTCTCTCCACACATTTTCAATTGGACTCAGATCTGATGATTGTGGTGGCCACTCCATTGTCACAACTCTAGGATTATCTTTACAGGTTTGCTCTTGTGAATTGGTGTATTATTCTCTTGAAATATTGCTTCTCCTGTAACCATAACCATTGAGTAAATTCTTAAATTGAGTTCACTCACACATCCCAGACATAATAGATTTTCGACCACTTTTAACGGTTGCTTGTGTGCAATTTGGATATAAAGCTCATCTTTATGACACAAACACGAACTTTTCCATATGAATTGGTGCTTATAGAGGATTCATCAATCCAAAAGAACGCGTCGCCAATCCAATTTTAGCCCCCCGTTTAACCGTTTGATTCGACTTGTTTCATTAAGCCATGGTTTTTTTACGTGCAATATGAGATTTGATACCATTTTTCTTTAAACTTCTTATCAGGTACTATATGTTATTAGATGATATTTTAGTGGCAAGCAGGCATTTTGGCATTCTCCTCATCATTGGATTTGCTTTAATTTTTCGAAGAATTAAATGTTCAGAAGGATCATTAACAATTAATTTTTGGCCACTATTCTTTATTTTCAAATAACCACAATTTTGTTCGTTTAATACGGTTTTTGATACTAGTAGCTGATCGTTCAAGGACCGTGCAATTTTTGCAGCAGACATGCCTTGTTTCTTGAGTATTCTCCGTTACTAAGATCTTTGTTGCAACCTGTTTGTATATACAATTTGAATTTTCAAGATTTATTGTATTTAAGTAGTAATTTGAACAAAAAAAAATGCAGGTTCAAATTTAATGTTGCTATTACTGTAAAACTCTCTGTATAGTACCCTCCCTTGTAAAGTACTTTCCGGTTATGCACGGATATTTTATGGTGCGTATTTTTATTTATAGATTTGTATAAAAGAAACTATCATCTATGTATTAGCGTTAGAAATAATTTCCCACAAGATTTAAATGAACGTTTAATTAAATTTGAATTGAGAGACTCGCGTAATTTTTACAAGTAATGAATCTCTTCTAATTAAACAAAAGAACTGAATAATTTAATTATATTCTTAGCAATTCTTTACCATATTTAAAGTAAATTAACAATGACAAGAAAAGAAACTATCTTCTATGAATTAGCGTTAGAAATAACAATCTCGTCACAATTAAATAAACGTTTGAATCAAGAGACTCATGTAATAATGAATCTCTTATTAAACAAAAGAACTGAATAATTTAATTATAATCTTAATAATTCTTTATGCCGTATTTAAAAGTCTTATTATATATGCGATATTCTTAAAATTCTTATTATTATGTTCTGGTTTTATTGTTATTGTTTTGCAAAGTATTAAATTAATCTCTACGTATAATTAAATTCGCAAGAAAATTTAGTTATTTATCTCTGAAGAAATATAAATACTTGACATTTTTCGATGAAGATATTAATTTGAAATGGTCGTAATCAGTAATAGAAATGCTTTAAAAGCATGTAGAACAAAAAAATTACGAAGAACCTGGTGTGCCCAAGAAAAATTAAAGATTGTTATGTATTATGAAAAAAATAAA